CTCGGTGCCACCAGAACCAAAAAGAGGGAAGGACTGAGCCGACAGGTGGTGTGGTGGTTAAAGGCGCTGGATTCCCACATGCCTGACCTTGGTTCTGGTTCCGGACCTGGGGGCTTGCTTTCTCACTTTCCCTCTCTCTCGTGCTCTCTCTCTCTAGTCAAATTTTTAAAAATAATAATAATAACAAATAGAATTAAATACATAAATAATTCTTATTAAAAAATTAAAAAGAGGGGAGGGCAGCACTTCTGGCCAATACTCAGAGCATGCTCTGACCACGGCCTTCTCAGCTTCTGTTTCCTCTGCCATTCCACCCAAACCTCTCCTTCCTGGCTGACTCTCTGCCATGGTTCTAAACCCAGTTCTTATTTTCCTTCCAACTGACCTTGCTTCTGCCACTCTCCATGTCTGGAAACTCACTCTCCTCTGATGATTGCATTTCTGTTGATGAGGGTTTGATTCAAATTCTTCCTTTGCACGTGCCCACCTCTGTCCCCTAACTGGCCTTCCTATCTGTAGCAGTCAGTTGGCACATACGTATAATGCTTTTCTTTTTATTTTTTTAAAAGAATTATTCACTTAATTTTATTTATTATCATCATTCAACTTGGCCAGAGAGAGAGAGAAAGCAAACTGCCAGGACTGGGACTCGAACCATGGTCGGCCATGTGGGATTCCAGCACCTTAACCACCATGCCACCTGTCAACCCCCTGGTGTAATGTTTTTAATAGCTGTGTGTGTGTGGGGGGGGGCTGCGTCTTGACTGCCTCTATGTATTAGTCACTTATTGCCACAGTCATGCTGAGTAACAAGCAATGTTGTCACCCTTGAATCTCCCTAGCACCCTGCATTACTGCTGCAGAGGTTGGAGGGAGGTGGCTATCAACCAGGGAATACTGCTGGCTTTCTCACTTTCTCTCTTTCTCACTCTATCCTTCTCTAGTCAAATTAAAATAAATAAATAAGGCTATATAAAATAATTCTCTAAATATACATCTTTTTTAAAAAGAATTATTTATTGATTTTATTTATTATTTTAAATAATACATTACACATACACTCAGCAGAAAGAGAGAGAAGGTCTAGGACTTGAACCATGGTGGGCCCTGTGGGAGTCCAGAGCCTTAACCACCATGACACCTGCTGGCCCTGAAGCCCAGCATTTAAAGATAACCAGAAATACACCTGGAGTGCAACAAATGGTAAGTTTATTAGCCTAAGGAGAGCACACCCTGCTGGAGCTCTGGGGAACTAGGTAGGATGGAGCCCAGAGGAGGTCACTCCAGGATCTGGGCTGTGCTGGGTGAATTTAAACAGGTAATGGGACCAGCAGATGGTGTAATGGTTATGTCGTTGGACTTCCATGTAGTTGACCACAGTTCAAGTCCCAGATCCAGCACCTTGAAACGCACACCAGGTGCGTGTGCATGCGTGCCCAAAATCCTGTGAGGATAATGGAGGTGAAGGGATTGTGGTGTGGTCTTCCCTCCTGGGGGATGATTTCTCAATTTCTGTCTCTCTCTTCAGCAAGCCCATATACCCTATAAAAAATATCTCTTAAAAAAAAAAAAAAAGAAAAAAGAGCTGGAATAAGGGTGCAGGAGACCAGCTCGCAGTTGGATAGGGTCAGGGAGAAAGGGCCGTTCAGAAGAGGGGATTGCAGCATCAATTTAAAACGGAATTTTCCCTATTGCCAGAAAGGAAAGAGACCCATTCCTTGCTTCTTTTCTTAGAAGCGTTCCCTTGAGAAATTTGGGTGTGTAGATATAATCTCTGTCTTTTTGATATCATGTTAATCTTTCTGTTTTCTTTCATTTTTTAAAAAATTTTGCTAGAGGATGTATGTGCTCGACAGAAAGAGGCAGAGAGAGAGAGGAAAAGTGAGAAAGCACCCTCCAGGAGGTGGCCATGCCACAGTCCCCTCTCCTCCATCCTTTTTCAGGATTTTGGACACACACACACACACACACACACACGATCAGAGTGTTTCTCAAGCCGGTGGGCCTGGGACTCAAACCATGCAGTCAGCCATGTGGGATCCAGCACCTTAACCACTACACCACTTGCTGGTCCTTGTGCATTTTTTTTTTTTAAATCATGGTAAAATAGAATAGAGAATTTAGCATCTTAACTATTTTTACATGTACAACACAATGACATTAAGAACATTCACATTATTGGGCCAGCTGGGTGGTACAGTAGTAGTGCACTGCTCAGCGACTTCCACAGTAAGCCCCGTGGAAGATCATGGGTTCGATTCCCCACTAACCTACACATGCTAGGTACATGTGACCACGATCCAGGAGGGAGAGGCTCTCTTTCTTTGTTTCTCTTATGGTCATGAAATAAACTTTGTAAAAAATCTTAAAGAGAGACATCTTCACTATTATGTAATCATTACGACTATTTCCAGAACTTTTTAAAAATCACCCCCAACAGAGACTCTGTACTCATGAAGCAAAAACTCTCCATTTCCTCCTCCCCCAAGCCCCTAGTAATCCCTAACCTGCATTCTGTCTCTATGCGTCTCTATTCTAGATGTTTTATATAAGTAGGCTCATAAGCTGTTTGATCTTTCGTGTCTGTCTTCTTCCAGCACAGTGTCTTCAAGGTTGAGCCCTGTTGTGACGTGTGTTAGTGCTTCATTTCAACAGCAGAATAACATTCCATTGCGTGGATAGACCACATTTGGTTTGTCTTTTCAAAGGCCAAATAAGCGTCTTGCCAGAATTACAACCCAAGAAGGTTTTTCTTTTTTCTTTTGGGAGAGGTTTTTGGTCTAGATGCGCGCGCTCGACAGAAAGACAGAGAGAGACAGAGAGACAGAAAGCAAGAAACCACCCCACAGGGTGATGGCCACGCTGCAATCCCTTCTCCTTCATTCTCCTCTCGGGATCTTGGGCACACACGCACATGCACCCGGCGTGAGTTTAAGCCACCGGGTTCGGGACTTGAACCACAGTCAACTACATAGGAGTCCAGCGACATAGCCATTACACCAATTGCTGGTCCCGGAAGGTTTTTCTTGAAAACGTGAAATCTATCTCTTTGAAATGTAAGTATCGGGGAAGCTAGTGTTTCTCTCTCACTGTCATTGTGGGAGTTTAGCCTGCACACCTTGTTGTAAGCTTAACCACCTACATCAGAAAAGATTCTAGAAGTTTTATTACTTCCTGAGACATAGGTCATTGGCTAGCACAGTGGGTATCCCATGACCAGGTGAGTTTGGGATGAACTATGAACCACTCATTCATGAGGTGGTCAAGTCCTCTTACTAGAGGACAAGTTACCATCCATCTTGAGAGCATATACAAGGGGACCTCAGTGAGTTGGTGGAAAAATGGAATTAAAGTATGAGTTTATTTTTGTACAAAAAAATGTAGAAATCCATAGAATGGATTTTTCCTAATATATATTTTCTGTAACTTTTTTGAAGACCCTCTATTTACATAAAGAGGAGACAGCCTGCAAAAAGCTTAGTAACAGCCAGTCCAACTACTAGTTGGACAATTGCAGTTGACACGTAATTGAGAATCTGCCACATACGAAGTACCAAGGCATTCAGAAGTGAGTCAGATACACTCCTGATGTTGAAGTAGATTCAGATCTTGCAGGAAAGATGAAGATGAACAGTTATAAGTTATGTACATAATTCAAGACTCTGAAATGTCGAGAAGGAGCCATATCCAGAGCTGGTGCTGAGCTGAAGAACAGAAGAGTGTCTGGAGATGTTAACTGTGTCCTGGAAGAAGAGGAGGAGCAGCTGTAAGGGGGCACTGGCAGCAGAATAATAAACACATAAGGGCCAGAAGTGGGAAGAAAATGACCATCCTTGCTGGAGGAGAGAGAATGGCTTCAGTTGGGCAAAAAAAGGGAGATAGGAGTTTGTCCTGTTGCAACAATGCTAGGGATTTCAGATTTATTTCCAAGGGCAGTAGGAAGCCATACATAGTTAATATAATCTATTGAGAGTAAATGTACTGGTTCAACTCTCTCAGAGCATCCTGATTTCTGAGTTGTAGGGGAGAACTTTATTGCAGCCTCTATGAGCTAACTCCAGATCATTTTCATCCTCGCTGGCCCTCATGTTCCTGGAGGGACAAGAACTTCAGTTTTCTCTCCTCTTTATCCCCAGTGCACACAGCACAGGGCCTGGCACTAAATGGAACTGAGTTTTCTTTTCTTTTCTTTCCCTTCTTTTTTTAAGTGCTGGCACTCAGATGAATACCCACCACACCACCTGAGTGGTAATTCCTGCTTTGAGAGTTCAAGTGTAGACTCTGCCACTTTTGTCCCTGACTTTGAACCAAAGATGTTCAGCTTTAGGAGCCCTGGTGTCCACGTCAGTAGAATGGTACTCATTGTGGGAGACCAGAGTATGCCTCCCCAAAACATGAAGGATTTTTGAGCAGAGGCCAATTGGAAGAAACCGGGGAGAGAGTTCTCTGCCCTCTCTCCATCTGTCTAAAAGCAGGACACGGATTTCCGGCTCAAGGGAGGCGTTGTTGACAGACATGCGAAATGCTTGGTACAGCATCCACTCCAGAGCATTATTGTCAGAAACTGTTAGAGTACATGGTTAAGAGCGCCTTCAAGCAGATCTGGATTAAAATCTAGGACAAGGAATCCTAAGCAAGTCCCCTCACCTCCCTGCACCTCAGTTTCCCCTTCTGTAACGCGAGGAGAATGATAATTCCTAGAATATGGAGTAAGGGCCAAAGAGCTAATGGACAGGAAGCATGAAAATATACACAATTTTTGTTAATTAAAAAAATAATAAATTCGTTTTTTAAAGTCGATGCTACTACTGTCCCCGACTCCAGGCGTCGTCAGTCTCTGGTTCCAGTAGCACAGCGAAGTTACCACCTCCCATGGCCAGCCCTTCCACCACGCAGCTATGGCCCCAGGGTGAAGGGGTGGGGCCTCTGGTGGGCGGAGCGACCCCTGGGCCCGCCTCCGAGGCGCGTGGGCGGGGCGAAGCGAGGCGCCCCGGCGTGCGCGCGCGCGCGTCGGCCTCAGGTACGCGGACAAGATGGCGGCGGTAGCGGTCGACAGCGCGATGGAGGTGGTGCCGGCGCTGGCTGAGGAGGCCGCGCCCGAGGTGGCGGGCCTCAGCT